TGGTTTGGCTGGCTGGAGTGTTGTGGGGATCGAACTACAGCAACCTGAGGCTGACAGCTTTGTGGAAGCAGCCACTTAAACAACTGAGCTAAGGCCAGGCTCCCCACTTACATATTCTTACAGCAGCAGTTTGGTGTCCCTGAGAGTTTTACAGATGTGTGTTCACCTGCAAGCAGGCGCGGGGGCCAGGGGTTCAATCCCCAGGCCTGCCATGCTGGCCCCACCCCCAGGGTGTGCTGAGACAGGGAGTGAGACTGGGCGTGGTGGTGTGCTCTTGTAATCCCAGCACTTGGGAAGCTGTAAACAGGAGAATTACTATGAGTCTGATCTAGCAGTGAGACCTTGAACACCCTATAGACCCTTCCCTAAATAAAAATAAATAAATAAAAATAAAAAATAGAGATGTACATTAAGAATGCACATGTCCAGTTCTCTCTGGCATGTGCACCCCTCTTCCAGGTTTCCAGGGCTCTGAGATGCTGTCTTGCAGGTCCCCTGGAGGCCCCCTCTCATAGCATAAGTGACCAAGTCTCTGGCCAGTGGTAGTTGGCTCAGTCCCCACCCTCTCTGTGCTGTAGTCAGGGTGGAGCTGAAAATGCCATATGATCACCTGTCAGTTTGTTCCCCTGGCACCCTGAAGTTACCTAGGGGCCCTCCCGGAGCCGCCCCATTACCTGAAATGCAAGTGTGGCCAAAGGGCCTCACTGTGGTTAACAAACGTGAAACCAAATCCCTGAGCTTCCATGCTGTGTCCGAGCTGGAGAAGAGGCCCACGTGCACGTGTTTTTGGTGCCAGCCACCACGTTGACCTGGGTGCCTTGCTCTGAATCCACAGCACTACTCTAGGAGCTGGCTGAGGCGTGTAGCCTACAGAGGCAGTGGGGCCCCACACGGAAGACCAGCACGCGTGGCCTGTGCCCCTGGCTGCTGAGCCATGGCCAGACTTTGCTGGGCCCTGCTGCTGCTCCTCACAGTGGCTGCAGCCCCGGAGTCCAGCATGGTCCAGGCCTGGGGCCCCGCGAAGGTGGTGCGGCCATTCCAGGACATCTCCTCGTCCTACGTATATGTGCAGCAGGCGGTCTGGTATGCCATGAAGGACTACAACAAGGCCAGCAAGGACAAGTACAGCTTCCGCGTGGTGGAGATTCTGAAGTCTCAGGAGCAGGTGGGCGAGCACACTCCTCCTCACTCCTTCTCTGTCCTGGTGGGGTGGGATCCTTATCCATGGGCAGCTTCTGCCACCAGGAATGGCCACGGAATACCATCAGCCAAATGGTACTGATTTTATTTTAGAGAGTTTGGGAAGAAAATTAATTATATTTCATTCACTGTTATTCTGGGGTGGGGTTAAAAGTATCCATTAAAAAACTTCACACTGGTGGGATCCCATTAAAACATGGAGGTCCAGGGTCCAGGAGGTAGCTTGAGGTGCCCTTGTATGGGGCCAGCTGCGCACCTTGGTGTGAGTGATGATACCGCACGACAAGGATACTTGTCAAGCTGTCAGTGCAGCAGGAACTGGGCACCCGGAAGGGCTTGACAGACAGCCTAGCAGCATAGAGGGAGGGGTCCCATCTGTGGCCATCAGATGGTCAGTGAGACCTGTGGCACCTGCCAGTGTCTGTGTGCTCATGCTGTCCCCCTCCAGTTAGCGATAGGACAAGTGGTAGGAAAGGCCTTGCTGAGACTCACTGGCCTGGTGGCAGATGCTGGTCAGCCCCATCCAGAACTGCTTCCCAGGGGACTGTCTCATAAGCGGGTGTCCTCTATTACCAACATCAAGCATCAGGCACTGCGCACAGCTGTCCAGGAGACTTCCAGGCTGGGACATGGTGACAGAAGTCTTGCTCCCTGCTGTGAGCCTGTTTGCTACCTTTGTAAATGTGATCTGTTACCAAGGGCTGTGAGACAGTGGGTACAGAGCATGAACAACAGAAAACAGCTGGGAAGCTGCTCTCTATTGAGGAGGCATAAGGAAGGCGACAACCAGAGTGTGGTCCTGGGTTCTGTCCCGGATTCAAAGGACCCTTGGAAAGGTTTGCATCCTGACTGTGCGACAGGAGAGAGCCCATGGACTGTTAGTTCAGAGAGAGATCCTTCTGCCCTCATGAGCTAGGGGCCCCAGGCCTGGGGAGGAGCGGAAGTGAGGCCAGCCTGGTTGAGCCTGGAGAGAGAACAGCCGCAGTGGACAGGGTGGTGACCTCACTGCAGGCAATGCCCAGCCCCACGCCCTCAGCTCCACACACAGCATATTCTGCTCTTGGGCCTGGAAAGAGCCCTACCTTATACATTATTATTATTATGGTTTGGTTGTCTCTTTCTACATCGTTTGTGAGCTTCATGTGTTTGGTTGCATACAACAATAGTGTGTCAACCATCCCCCCACCAAATGTTCCATTTTGTTTTCTTTTTTTCCGGAACCCGGGATTGAACTCAGGCCATTGCGCTTGCCAGGCACTTATTCCACTGAGCCACCTCCTGGGCCCCAATAATAGACTTCTTTTTTTTTTTTTTTTTTTTTGGTGGAACCGGGGATTGAACTCAAACCCTTGCCCTTGACAGGGAAGCGCTTATTCCACTGAGCCATCTCCCTGGCTCCCTCCGTTTTGTTTTTGAGACAGGGCCTTGCTCTGTAATTCAGGCTGGCCTTAAACTCATGGCAATCTGGGCTACATGTGAACTCCTGCCTCTGCCTCCCCAGAGCTGGAGTTACAGGTGTGTGCCATCATGTCGGGCCAAAGGGGTGTTCATTTTTATCTTGGAAAGATGTTATCGTATATATTGAAGGTGTATACTGTGATGTTTTGAAATACCTAAGGTGAAGTGATTGCTACTCTAATAGCACTAATTAGCATATCCATCCATTATCCTTTTTGCATGTGTTTTGCTAGAATACCTAAATCTACTCTTTTAGCAAAAATCCAAATGCGATACCGTGTTATTAATCCTAGTCCCCATGTTGCATTTTGGTCCCTTGATGTGTTCACTCTACAAATTTAGCTTTTATCATTTGACTTATGTCTCCCTCAGCCTTGCTCTTTGTACTCGGTGACGTAAGCTGGGTGCAGAAAGGAAAAACCCTGCCTGATCTTCCTGGTGTGTGGAGCACTGGGATGCTCCTCCTGCTCTGCTGCAGAGCACTTTGTACAAACAGACTGAAATTCCTTGGTGACTCTGTTTTGATTCTTGGGTGGCTTTGAGGTTCTGAGGGTTTGGAATGGGGACACCGCATGTACATTTGTGCACCTGTGTAAGTCTAGCAGCAGACGGGGTTAGATCAAACGGCATGTAAATCCCCACTCCACCCTCTACCCTAGATTCCAAGTCTCAGCTGACTAGGTGTCAGGTCCCACAGGATTCTCTCCCAGTGCTTTAAAGGTGAGTGCAAACCACAGGGTCTCAGCGCAGGCCAGGCACAAAGGGACAGCGACCTTCAGAAGCACTTGACAATTCTGCCTGCAGCACCCACCCATTCTCTTCAGTCCCCAGGCAACCCTTTTATAGTTTCTAAAATGTTTATTACCTTGCTGGGTGTGGTGGTAGAGGACTATAATCCCAGCACTGGGGAGGCTGAGGCAGGAGGATCACAAGTTTGAGGGCAACCTGGGGTACATGTGAACTCAGGGCCAGTCTCCGCTATACAGGCAGACCCTGTCTCAAAACAAAACAAAACAAAATATCTATTACATTTCCTCATTTATCTATGTTTTTTTCTGGAAGCAGTCCCTCATTTAAGTTGGCCATTGTCTTTGCTATGTCTTATAAATCTCGCTTTCTCTTTGCTTTTCCCAACCCTAGAGTCTTGTTCCCTCTCGTGCCACTGTGTTCTCGTGGGTGGAGGGCTGTCTGGGCTGCGTGGGTGGAGGCCAGGCTTGTGCAGGCCCCGTCACATGGAATGAGATTGTCAGCAATGGGAGGTTTTGGCAAGATCAGGCCATGCTGCAGTGCTCGTTCCAGAGTATTCTGAACATGCTGATGACACACCAATTTTCCCTCCATATCTGCTGGTCAGCTGTGCTGATGCACCCCACGTTGCTATTTATTTCTCAAGCCCCTTGCTTTCCCAGGGGACATTCTCTGGGACTAAGCATCCTTGCCTTATCCCAGGGACAGCTGCCGTCACATTAAATTAAATAATGGAGGAGAGACAGCAATCAGCATCAAGGTCAGAATCCCCCAGTGACCCACAAATGTCTGGCGAGGAGATGTGGAGGAGAGGACAGGCAGGGAGCTGGCCCTGTCCCCAAAGCTGATGGTGTGTTCACCCATTTATGGTACTTCGTCCTCCAATGCTGGCAGGTCACAGACAGCCTGGAGTACTATATTGAAGCCAAGATTGCCCGAACAATGTGCAAGAAGGCTGCCGGAGAAAACGAACACTGCTTGTTTCAAAAAGATCCCCACATGCAGAAGGTGAGGCTTGAGGCATGGAGGGTGGCCAGCTGGGGCAGGCCTGAGGCCCAAGCTTCATTAGCTTCTCGCTTCCTCTCCACCCATGTCTGGTCGCTGTGGACAGCCAGGTTTAGGATTCAGAGCACCGTTTCTATCATCCATGGTTGGTACCTATCTCCTCAGCCCACAACAAACACTGACATGTATGCACACAAACACACATGCACACCCAGCACACAACCATGTACACACACACATAGGCCTAAAGCAAAACCAGTCCATTATTTCTCACTGTCTTCCACTCAGGGATGTGTTCTCCTGGACAAGTTTTCTACTCCTGGGGTCCTTACGGAGGCCGAGCTACTCTGATGTGTGGATGGTCAGCCCTCTATCTGGGTCTTGGTCCTTGGCTGGTCCTGTGGAGACCTGTCCACCCGCCTCTCTCAACCTGTTTAAGACCAATCTCGGTGATGTTTCTCTTATAGCTGAGACAAAATACCCAATACTCAAAATGAAGGAAGGAAAGGCTTATTTAGCTGACAGTTTGTGGAGGTTTCAGTCTGTAATCAGCTGGCGCCAAGGCAGGGTGGCTTGGCACAGGGGCAACAGTACAAGTTGGCAGAAGGCAGCAAAAGCAGTAAGAGCACAAGGGGAGAAGAAACCTCTTTTCCTCTCTTATATTGTAAGCAGGCTGCCACCCCCCTAGGGGTCCCCCTATCTCCCTGCCCTCCTCTTGCACTGGATGAGAATGTTTCCAAAGTGAAGACCCCGGACCCCTGCTGAGTCACTTCATCATACTTCTAAACTTCTCAAGTTGATGCAACGTATCAAGCATGACAGGGCCTCTCTGAGAAAGAACCCCTGGGTTGACCCATTGTCCTGGTTTGTCTAGGCCTGAGGTCTTTGTGGGATGTGGACCGTGAGAACTATATTGATTTGCTGTTCTACCTTCTACATGACAGAGTAGTGGGGGCAGGTGTGTGCCTCAGGGCAGGGGTTGGCAGTGGCCTGGTCCTCAGGGGTGAGCAGGGCGTGAGGCTGGCACCTCTCCTGAGTCCTGGGTCATGGTGGGCTACAGCTAGGTCAGGCCGCGTCTTCCTCCACTGAACAAGTCCTGGAGCTTGGCAGTGGGACCTTCTGCTTTTGCTTTCCCTCCTTTCGTATGAGCTAATTCTTCCTTTCTTCTCTTTTAGGAGGTTTTTTGCACTTTTATTGTTAGATCCAAGCCATGGAAATTTGAGCTAACCATGCTGAAGAAGCACTGCAGAGACGCCTAGCGAGCTCCTGGTGCTCCTCTATGCATTTCCCTGGGCGAGCAGTAAAGGTCTTTGTGATACCCAACCCGTGCTCCAACTCTGCTGCTTCTCTGATTTCTGGGGTCTGGTGCTGAGGGCAGGCAGCCCTGGCAAGGGGAGCCGTCTCCTGGCAGTGTGGCCTGTGCTCCTGCTGTCCTACGGGCATAGTAGATGCCTAAGGGTCCTTTTGACTTCATGTGTCGCAGCCTAGACTTCCACAGATGTGCCCTACCAGGAGTCCCAGACACATAGAGCCCATAGCTCTATGGCCCTGAAACAGCAGGGTTTTCCAGTGCTGGGCATGGGAGCTTGGGCGTTGTGCATGGGGAGCCTTCCCTGACCACTGAGCTGCACTCCCCTTCAGAGACAGTGGTTCCACACCCAGGACCTGGTCAGAGATACAGATGAGCCTTTCAGAAGTTTGGGCTTGTGTAGTGAGGTAGAAAAAGTGCAAGAGTAATGGTGCTTAGAGAGCAGCCTGTGTGTGTGTGTGTGTGTGTGTGTGTGTGTGTGTGTGTGTGTGTATAGGCAGGCTGCATATGCCTAAGCATGTATATGGGCAGGCTGCATGTGTGTGAGCATGTGGACAGGCTGGTTGCTTGTGTGTGAGCATGAGTATAGGCAGGTTGCATGTGTGTGTGTGTGTGTGTGTGTGTGTGTGTGTGTACAGGTGGGTTGCATGTATGTGAGCATGTGGACAGGCTAATTGCATGTGTTTAGTGTGCGGACAGGCAAGTTGCGTGTGTGTGAGTGTGTGGACAGGCCTATCTGTCTAAGATCGGAGCTGCTTGACCCTCCCATGTTTTCTGTCCCGGCTGGAGGAGTATGGCTGGCCACATGGGTCACTCCTGCTGGTACCAGGAAATTGCCAAGACTTACCTCCAAATCTGAACCCTGGTCAGGGAGACCATGGTGTTCCCCACCCTCTAAACTGTGGAATTCAGCCCTGTGGGGGTACGAAACCCACATGTGTGGCGCAAGCCCTGATCCTAGTGGGACACGCAAGAGGCTGGTGGTAGCTGCCCTTGAGCCATGACTCAATCTATGCTGGTGGCTCTCCTGTCAGGGCTGTGGCTGCCCACTGTGTGTGGTGTGCATGGGACACAGCCCTCTTCCTGACATGGAATATACAGATGTGTTCAGCAAGAAGGTTGAAGTAGCAAGCAGGGCAGGCACAACAGCCTTCTTTAAACCTGTACAGGAAATCGGTGGGAACATGGGTGTGGGAGAAAGGGCCAATGTCAGGGTTCCTGGCCACCAGTGCATCGTTCTCCAGGGCTCATTAAGTCCCCACCCTACTGTGTGTTGAGGGTTCACTGCCCTCTCTCCACTTGCTCTGAGGTCACTGTCACTGCCACTGCGCCACTGCCCCACAGGACATCTGCAGGATCCTAGGTGACAGGTGCTTTGCTTCTGTCCCTGGCAGTAGCTGAGAAGCTGAGGTGGGGGAGACCCTTCTGCAGTGTCTAGGAGGGACCTTTCCCAGAAGCATGTGCAGATAATCTCTATGAGCAAGCTTTAATGAGTTCTCTGTGATGACCTTGAGCAAGAAAGAACTTTATAGAACTGGAACAAGGGCCCAGACTCCCAGAAAGTGAGGGGAAAACACTCTTGGGGCAGCTGGGCCCTCAGGAGCCACATGGGAAGCGCTGACGTCTTGGAGGTCAGCAGTGTGGCCAGGCCTGGGGCTCAGGGGGAGTACGCAGAGCAGTTCTTGTTTAAGAGTTGGAACTCTGTAGTCCAAGGCAGTGTGCTCACGTTGAAGGTGCAGGTGATGACCTGTGAGGTGGTAGACGGCACAGAGTGAGAGAAGGCCCAAGATGCACTCCCATCTTCCAGTACTAACCCTAACATCCTGCTGTCCCAGGGCACTGCCTCCTGCATCCTCAAGAGGAGCCCCAGTCTGTTCTGGGGAGATCCATGTCCCCAGAGTAGGACTCTATCCTGCCAGGAGCTGCCCTGATTCATGCAGCCTGCCAGCTTTGGGGCCATGGTGCTCACATCCAGCTGTACCTCGCCCTGTCCACAGCACCTGGGGTAGCTCGGCAGGCAAGGGCTGGGCCTCAGGGAGATTGAAGGGCCCAGTTCAGCCTGTACCACAGGGTCTAGGGCAGGCACAGAGGGACCTGAGATGGGCACAAGGTAGCAGAGGCCAGGTTAGAACTTGTTGGGCTCTTCTCCTGAGGGCAGGGCACGCAGGCTGGAGGATCACACAGGGACATTCTCTGCTCCTCCCCTGACACCAGGGGGCTGCAGTGTGGCATGGGAAGAGCCAGAGAGGAGGTGCGCAGGCCCTGTACCCACCCTGCTGTCTGCCTGGCAGGTCCCCAGTTGCAGGCTTGTGTCCTACCTCCCAGCACTCACAGCTGGGAGAGCAGAGAGCCAGCACTCTGTCTTACATTGCTGGGCTCAGAGCTGTCCTGGAAGAGGCAGTTGTCGAGGTCCTCCTGGAGCTTCTTACACATGGTTCTGCGCAGCTGCAGCATCATGGAGAATACCATGTTGTCAGTCTGGTGGGGACAGGAAGAGGAAAAGCAGATTTACGTGACACTGCAGTGTGGACTGACTGTGCAGTTATGACTGCTCCTGTGGGAGCTCTTTGGAGGCCTTGACCAGCTCTGGGAGATGACAGCTGAAGACCCTCTCCAGTAGGGGTAGGGACAGAGGTCAGTAGCCTGGTGCATTGAAAGACACAGCAGAGCCACAAGCCATGAGCACGGCCCCAGTTCAGGTCAGCCCGGCTCATCTTGGTGAGAGCTGAGCCTCTTCCTGTGCAGGTATCTAAGCCCATAACTGGATGCAGACGCCTGGCGTGCATTCATGTGTGCATGGGATGTGCCAGCCTTGCAAGCTGGAGTGGCACCTGCGACAGGTTGGTGCAGTCATTTGAGCTGCAGCAAGAGAAAGGCCCACCCTGCTGCCATGCCCACGACACCCATAGACACTCCAGGACAATTCAGGGTTAAGAAGACAGACAAAGGGAGTGTAGGGTGCCCTGATCATGCCCTGACAGCAGGGGAACAGGGCAGAGGGTCTGTGCCCTCAGTGACAGTCAGGGCCAGTCATCCTCCTCCTCAGTGTCCCCACACCTCCTGTGCTTGCTATTTTTCTAAGCATCCCTGTCATGTCCTTTCTTTGGAGCCCTTCTCAGTGCGTCTCTGTTGATACACGTTATTGGCATCGGCTGCCTGGGCCTGAGCCTGGATGACTGGTAGTGAATGAGGCCCTGGGGTAGGAGAGCCGGGAGGGACCCTTGCCTGGATCTGTGCAGGAAGTGGACAAGGCTGTGGTCTCTCACCTGTTCCCTCTGGATGTTCAGGACGTGCTCCACCCGGAAAGCGTACTCATCCTCATGTTCCTGGTTGAACATGTGTTGGGCGAACTCCATGGTGGGGGGGGCATAGATTGTCACCTCGCCGTGGTACTCCTGCTCCGGCTGGATGTGCCAGGCCACAGTGCCCAGGAGCTGGATGCCCCAGAGGAGCAGCACCAAAGCACAGGCCCGTGGTGGCCTCTTCCTGGGGAGATGTGCCATGGTGTCCTTGCCCTTCCCAGCCGCTACTCTGCACCTGCAGCTCAGGTCCAGTCCGTAGTCTCTTATGCTCAGGCACAGGCTCCTCCCTGGCCTCTCTGCGTCATACTGTGTCCCTCCTACATGAGCTAGCCCTGGGGAGTTGGCCCCTGGGGGTACACATGGCTCCCAGCTGGTCCCTGGGGAAGAAGCTGACTGATGCCAGGGGAGGGACTGGGCTCTGCCTCAGACTGGGCACACTGGGCACACTTCTCTCTGCAGCCCTCCCTGCCTGGGTGATGCTGTCCCCACCCCCCCACAGGAGATGAAAGAGCAGCTCTGGCTGAGAGAGCAAGTGCACGTAGGAGGGACACAGCATGACATAGAGAGGCCAGGGATGAGCCTGTGCCCGAGCAGAAGAGATTACCTCCTACGTGAACTTGCTTTCTTAGCCAGAGTTGTTCATTCATCTCCTGTGTGTTGGGGGAGGGGAGGGGATGGCACCATTCAGGCAGGAAGGGATGCAGAGACAAGGCCAGTGTGCCCAGTCCAAGGTAGAGCCCAGTCCCTCCCCTGGTTTCAGCCGCGTCCTTCCCCAGGGACCAGCTGGGAGCCATGCGTACCCCCAGAGGCCAACTCCCCAAGGCCTGCCCTTGCCTACTGACCAGCTCCTGGCCAGCTGGGATGCAGGGCTCTGGGATGAAGGACAGCTGGGGGAGGCACTATGGCTCCAGTGATAGATGAAAGATGATTGCAGTTCCTTTAAGCCACTAACATCCAATTTTGGGCGGGTGGGTTGCACAAAAATAAGAGAAAGCTGGAGGGAGAGATCCAAACCTTATTGCATGTGACACATTATTCATATGCATACACACAAATATAAAGTGCTTTGTAATTTGTTTCGCATTACAAAGAATTTTTTATGCTGTTTCATTTCAGAATTGTTTTATTTTATTAGTATATGTGCATAGAATATTTCTTTTGCATTCCTTGTTGCATGAGCCCTGGTGTCACCTGCAGGATGGTCACAGCTCTGACTTGACTGTGCCTCCCTGCTGTCCCAGCCAGTGATGCCAGCTTAGGGTCCCCAGGGTTTTTTTGTGAGTGCGTGTCCCATCCTGGGCACACCGTACTGTGCATATTCTCTGGTACATGCAGGAGCTTTTTGAGCCCTACCCTCCTATACCTCTGTCCCCTGGATTCCTCTGTGGATTTGAGGCACCTGTGTCTGCCTCACCTGACACCTCCGATGGACCAGGGGCACTACCACAGGCCTGTGGGTGCTGCTGAGCAATGCCAGCTGTCCAGCAGGCCTTGGTCCTGAACTAGGAGGAAGGCAATGCCTTTGCAGGATTTGGGGGCCTCACAGGGCCTGGACAGCCATCTTTCTTTAAGAGAAGATGCTCCAATGGCCCCAGGAGCCCCACGGAGCTGCAGGATTCTGTGTGTGCTGCCGCAGAGCGGGTGAGTGTGGGTGTGGGGTCTGAGGTGCTGCTGAGTGTCCTGAAGGCTTCCACTGTTTCCCTTTGTTGTTCTTTCCTGCACCCTCTAACTTCACCCCTCCTGGTGTCCAGTGTTTCTGCAGCAGGCCAGACCTGGGAGTTCCTGTGCCCCATTCCACCTATGTCCCCCACCCGAGTCTCACTTCATTCTCCATGAGAATTATTGATGCTTTTCAAAGGAATTATTTGTTCCAACTGCTTTTGACAGAGACCTGGATTTCTAATATGACAGCACTGAGAGAATGTAAGAGCGAGCGGAGTCCCTAAGTGACACAGGGCAGCCTCAGCATCTTGTGGTCTAACACCCAAGGATGCACCTGCGACCGTTGCCTATTTGTGCCATCACCTCTGCTGCTGTCCTTCAATTCTTGCATCAGTTCTCAATTCCCCTGAAAGGTCACTTCCCAGCAGCTCAGGGGAGGCATCAGGCTGGGGTCCAGGAGGTGATATAGTGGTTGGGAGGATGCCTTTGAGCCTTTTTCTCCTCTTATCACACAGAATGGACTGTTGCTACACTTCAGAGGGACAGAGCAGCGCCGTGGCTCTCTTCCTGGACAATGGGGCTGCTCAGTGCTGGCAGAGGTGAGGGAGACTGTGGCTGGGATGCCCTGTCTTATCTCAGCTGCTGGGCAGAGCAGGATGTGGAAAGGAGCCCAGGGAATGCGGGTGGACGATAAGCAACGCGGCGCTCCCATGGGCCAGGCGCTGCCAAGACCTTGACAGAATCTCCAAGACTGGGGTTTGGCACCTGTGTCAAGAGGAGCTTGTGATGCCAGGCCCAGTGGGTGCAGCATTTGGAGGTCCCCGAGGTTGGTGGGTTGTAGACAGGAATTGTAGCCTCTGAGAGGGACAGAGACCACGTGGAAGGTAGCTGACAGGCAATTTGTTTCAGTGACAGACCATTGGAGGGCCAGAGTCGGGGCTTAGGTTGACAAGGAGGTAGAGATGTGAACACCTGTCTCTCTCTTTTCATGGAGTAGACTCAGCTTGACATTCAGTACCTTAAAGCTACTGGGCGCATGACACTGAGCTGAGAGGGGCTCGAGTCACTGGGCCCAGTGGGTGGGCTGTCCCACTCTCCCCATCTCTCCAGGCTTTCTCAGACAAGGCATGGGGGACAGCACCCTCTCTGGTCCTGGCTCTTGGTCATCCCATCTTGCTGTCTTGCGCTGGGGTTGGGTTTCGCTTCCTCTGCATCCCCCTGTGTTCCCTGCCTTCCTCCTGGATTGAGGATGTGTTTTCCTATGTCCAGCTCAGTTGCCCTGCATGTCTCATCCTCAGAAGGAGGGAGTTGCACACAGATTCTCCAGTGTGTGTCCCGGGTTGTCACTTCCTTCCTTTGAGATCTCCCTATGGCTCAGGCAGGACAGATGGGGCTGAGAAAGGAGTGAGCCCTGCTCACTGCCGGCCAGCAAGGCCAATGGTCTTGAGTCCAGCTAGCTAGGCAGCCTTCTCTGCTGCCCCCCAGCTCTGTGGGCATGGAGGCCTTCCCCCCTCCACGACCTACCTGGGGCTCCTTTTCCCTGGGGTCCTGGCAGAAGAAGGTGAGAAAACACAGACATGGCCTGCAGCCACTGCCCTGGACCTTCAAGGTCACGGCTGCCCACTCGATGCCCTGGGCAGAACCTAGCCATGTGGTCTCAGCCAAACTCCATGGGCAGAGACGAGGGTGGAGTTGGACCCTCTGCTGCGCTGTCCTTGCTGGAGGTGCCACCCTGGAGGCCAGAGTAGGGTTGAGACGCCGCTCCTCTCTTCACCACCAGGCAAGTGTTCTTGCTCCTGCTTTGGCCAGTGAGCACTCAGAAACTGTCCTCCTGTCCTCCCACTGACCCTGTTAGTCCTCTGAGCCCTTGTTAGCCTGGCTCTGTCTGGCATTGGCCCCCATTTAGCTGTCCCTGGACCTCAGGGCTGAGCTTCTAGGCTGACCATGGCGCAAGGACATGGCCACTACTGTGCTGGACAGGGTTGAGACCAGTATACGGCTGATAGAGGTAGCTGGGAGAGGGGTGCTTACGTGTCCCAAGCCCCCTTCTCACTTTGCTCTTGTGTTTTGTCACTTTAATCCCATCCCACAAAGACAGTAGCTTAGCTCAGGGTGATTGTTGCAGCCCTCAAGTCACCCACTGCCCTGTAGATCACTCTGACAAACTCATTCCGTCCAACAGGGCTGCCCAGGTCTCCCCTTGGCGCAGCCCTCTCAGTTGGCACGACCTCCCTTCTGTGTCTGCTGGACGCTCACAGAACAGCTTCGGACCATGTGTTTTCCCGCTGTGATTCTGTCTGTGCTGGCCCTGGGAGGGACCCAGAACCTGGGCTGCTCTGAGTGAGGTGCTGGGACCGGTGAGGTCCCCTCCCCTGCCTGCCCCACCTTGCCTCTGATGCCCCAGGGGCCAGAGGCATCTATTGGAGCAGCAGAGAGAGAGAGGTTGAGGACACATTCATGGAAAACTAGTACAAGTCTGAGAGGCCTCTGCCTGGAGCCCAGGCCACGGTCCACGCATTTGTGCTTCTGGGGAGGCCCTGAGCACTAGTTGCCCTGAACGTAGGGCATACAGCACTGCCATCCAGTCCCTCCCAGTGGTGGTGGGAGACCCTCGACTTTGACCATTCTGCCCTCCATGGTGTGATACTCTGCTCTACTGACTGAGCCCATGAAGGGAGGTATAGGGGCCAGCAGGGACGTGTCCACCTGGTGGTTTCCAGGTGTTGAGTGCAAGGTGAGTAAAAGGGGCTCTTCACGAGCACACATAGCCCAGGCCCAGTCAGCCCATGCTCGCTGGTGGCAGAAGGTCCCATCAGGGCACAGACACTCCTCTCCACAGGGTCCATGGCACCATGGGGTGGTTGTGAAAGAGGGCACCCACCACCAAGGCCAGAACATCTCAGTCCAGCTGGGGATCAGCATGTGCTGCCCGACCTGGGAGATTCAGGCCAGGGTTGTGCAGCTACTGGGTGAGCTGTGCATCCCCCATATTCACTTCATGGATCAGGCTCCTTCTGCCAAGGCAGGGAGACCCAAGGCTGGATTATGCTGCACTCCTCATGCCAGGCCAACTCCTAAAAGTGAGGTCATCTGGGAGGACAAGAAAGAGCTTGTCCTCCTTCCTGGGCACCCTGGTGGCCTAGGAAGCCTTTGCCTGCTGTGTGCCATGGCTATGGGCCTGGAGACTGTGGCTCAGATGCAGCAGACTTCTCCCAGCAGGCCTAGGAGAAGAAGCACTTAACTTTCTGAGAGTACCAGGTACCCACAGGGTGACCCCATCCTCACCTGGCCTCTGCCCCATGACCATGGCCTGTAGAGGGTGTGCAAATGCTGATGTTTATTGATGAATGGATCAGACTGGAGTTCTAAAACATCAGCATACAGAACCCAGGAGGCTAGAGCAGCCTGGAACTGCTGGGACATCACAGTCTAGCTCCTGGGAACAGCTGGTGCCCCGGAAGTGCTGGGTCACTGGCTGGGGTGCACTATGGAGCACGTCTTCCTCAGGATGCTGAGCTGGGCTTCCTGGTGCTGGGAGCGGATGGTGAAGGAGCAGTTGAAGGTCTGGAGTGATCAGAGAGGCACTATGAATGGGGGCACTGTGTCTGAGCACTGCGTCTGCCTCCACCTCCCCTCCTGGGCCAGTGGTGGTGGAGGAGGCTCAGGCTTCAGGGAGGCCACCTGGCCTGAATGGGGTGAATCCCAAGCTGCTCCCTAACCCGGGACTCCTTCAGACCCCAGAGAGGCAGGTCAGCTCCTCCACCCAGCCAGGGCCTGCCTGGCACCCAGGATGCTCCTGTTGTTATTCCCAGACAGCAGGGGGTGCTGTATCTCCAGGGAGCCAGCTGAGCATAGCCTTGGGTCAGTGTTAAACCATTGATTGACTCTTTGATAAGGTGGCTTGCCAGTTTAGTTGGGGTGTTGTCCATTTCAGGCTGTCCCCTGCTCTGTTTGCAGTAACTAGTGCAACTCAGCAAGACAGGGCTGGGCCTCAGAGAAGTTGAGGGGCCAAGCTTAGCCTGCCCTTTTGCTCTTGGGTGCAGGTGTCAGGCCTGACACCCCCCCCCCCCCGGCTCCTCTCAGGCCTGAGGCCCACACAGGGGCTCCTCCCCAGACCCCAAGGAGGCTGTGTGTCCAGGACATTGGCTGAAGTGTGGAGTGGGCGAAGCTGGCTGGGTGCCCCCGGGACTTGGACAGGGCAGCCTGGGGAGCTGTGAACTTGTGCCTGCAGGGCCAGGAGAGCTATGTGGGTCACTCCTTACACTTCTGGGCTCCAGGCTGGGGTAGAAAGGACAGGAGTCAGTGTTTCTCTCAGATTTCCTACACACGGTTCTGCGGAGCAGCAGCTGCGTGGACAGTACTCTCCCAGGACTCTCAACCTGGACAGAAAGGAGAAAGACTTACACGGCACTGCTGTGTGGACTGATGGTGCGATCTGGCTCGTGTAGGGGCAGACCTGACTCTGCTCCTCTGGAAGGTGACAGCCGGGTCCTTCTCCAGAGGGCTGAGGGCTGAGGCAGGTGGCCTGGTAAGCCTGGGAGTCACAGTGGAGCTGCAGGCTGTGAGCACATTCCCAGCTCAGCTGGCCTAGTCCACTTCTGTGGGACTCAGCCTCTTGCTTGCGGTGACAAAAGGGTTCTATACACTGTGCCCAGCAGGGACTGGAGAATCGTAGAGGAATGTATTGAATACTAAAAACAGCACAAGATAAAAGCTAATACAGAAAAAAAAAAAAAAAAAAAAGCTAATACAGAACTGCCTTCTCCTACCCCAAGCTAATGTCTATTTCTTCCCAAAGGTCAGAGCATGCAGAGGCCCATGTCTAAGTCACAGGAGCCTTCTGTACGGCCTACGCCAGTGTCCTGGACAGTTGCAACTTAGGTGTAGTTTCATACTCTGTCCCTGTCTCTTTTCTAACTTTTTATTTTCCATCCTTCAAATGTGTCTCAATGTATCTCTATGTTCATTTTCTCTTTTCCATATTCTGTGGCTTACTCACTTCACCGTTTCCTATTGTGAAGCCATTCTTCAGTTATCAACATCATAAAATCACAAAGATAGCAAAATTCATCTTGTACACGAGTGGGTATTGATCTAATTTAAAAGAATTTCTGTGTTCATTTTTTTTTTTTTCCTCACAACCAAATGCTAAGCCAGGCATAGATTGTGCAGAACCTGGACTGTGGATGCCCTGGCCCTCGCTCAGCCCCAGGTGCAGGCAGTGGGCGGAAGAGGACTTCACCCACCGTCTTCAGTTGAAAATTGAGGATGCGCTCCAGCCGGTAGACATTCTCCTCCTTGCTCTGCTGGTTGAACATGGCCAGGGCCAAGCGCACTGCAGCAGAGAGCTCCGGGTTGCTGCCTTGCTGCTGATCGCTTCTGAGATCCTCCTCGGAACACCAAGTGTAGCTCACCTGGGGCTGGAGAGACAAGAGGAGCAGCAGTGTGGCCCAGGGCAGTGCCCTCCACCCTGGGGGACACAACATGGTGCAGGCACTGGGCTTCTGCTTTGCCTTTTCCAGCCGGCTCCCATAGATCCAGCCTTTAAATTAATCGGTGGGTCACAAACGCCTCCCCTGACACCTCTGTATTACACTGTGTCCTTTCCCACGCCACCTTGCTCTATCTAGCCAAAGCTGCTAATTCACTTCCTGTGTAGGAGCTGGCACATTGTGGCAGACCAGCAGGGTCAGAGGGCCAACTTGAGTCCCAGCCACCCTTTCTATGGGTGCCTCTGTGGGCCAGGAAGCCCAGATTAACACACCTGAATCAGATGTTGATGCAGGGACCCAAGCTCGGATGTTGCTGGTAGGGGGCCCCTGATGGGAAGCAGAGGGGACAGAGGTAGGAGGAAGTGGGTGCTACGGGTGGAGAGAAGGGGCCCTCACCCAAGCCACAGGAGCAGGCAGGTGGCCCAGGCTGTCCAGCTCACTGGATACCCCAACAGATGGGGCCACTGGCCTCTGAAAGGTGAGGACACCCTGGCTGCACACCACTGAGGAATGTGGGAGCAGCAGTTCCTGTCTGAGACTACACAGGGCGAGCACTGCCCATTAGAGCAGTAGGTAGAGAGGCTGTGAGAAGGCACCCTAGGACAGTGCAGAGTCCACTCTGTGGGCCCTGCTGCCCCCTTGTGGCCGGCACCCTCATGGGGTCCCGGGGTTGTGCAGGGAGCTTCAGCCTCTGGCTCAGCACACTCTATCTGCACTGGGATGCCCCAGGAAACCAGCTTCCCACTGTAGTCCCAGCAAGCTCCTGGGCCACACAGCTCCATCTTGAGGGCTCTTGGGGTGCACAGCTGGCTCTCCCTGGAGCTGTTGCCCCTGCCCCAGAGTTGCTCATGACTGGACATGGAACTGAGTTCCTGCCCTCTGGGAGAGCCTGGTACCCTGCTTTCCTCCACAATGCTGCTCTGGGGCCCTGCACCAGCTCCCTCCCTGGTGGGGCTGGGATAGGCCCACACTCCTGAGCTGCTCAGGTGGCTCGGGGAGCAGCCAGCTGTGGGGAAGGGGCCGCCCAGAGCTGGCTTCATTCCCTGGAGTCCTTAGGATCCCTAAATCTGCAGCTGAAGCTTGAGGAGTGGAGTTCTCAGCTGCAGAAGTGTGGTGCCAGTTGGGGGAGGTGGGGGCGGTGTTGGCCACTGTAGATGCCAATGTGGTCTTCTCGGGGGAGCAGGCTGGGGAGTCCTGTGTGACTAGACCCCTGTTGCACCTTGATGAACTGCGGGTGTCCATGGGTGCCCAGGGCAGGTCCAGATACAGTGTTACCGTGCCTAGATGGGGCCACTAGTGTATGGGCACTGCTGACTGCTGGTGTGACCAGATTCTTGCCTGGTAGGGTGGCGTGGACTCCTTTCCAGGGAGGCAGAGACTGCATCTCAGGTCCTGAACTTTGCAGAATGAGGGAATGTGAGCTGGGGTGGAGGCCTGAGGGCACAGTACAAGCACAGTGAAGACATAGTCCCAGTTCCTCCCTGGCAGTTCTCCATCTGGACGACCCGTCCCCTTTATCTCCACTGACTCCCATGCAGCCACCAGTGTCCAGGTCTCGTTATCTCCTGAAATAGACCTGAGTCTTGCAACTGAGGGCCTGCATCCCCGGAAGCATGAACCATCAGACAAGGTCAACAATGACCAGGCCAAGCCACAGCCCCAGATGCCAGCCATAAGAGAAGCAGGGTGCTGGGAAGCTGTCAGCCCAGAGCTCTGTGCAGGACCAGCCTCTCTGGGCTCCCCCAGCCACCATCCTCCAGTGCCCCTCCACCGTGCCCAATCCTGGGCATCAGGCCTTTGGGTTCCAGAGCCACTTTGTGGCTTCCTGGGTTTTCAGATGGAGAGAAGAGGAGGCTGCTTTCTGATGCAGACATCTGCCCCCATGCAGCCATTAACTTGGCTGCTTCTTTGGAGAGTTGCTCCTGAGAAGTCTCTGCTGCTCCGCCAATTGTGGCACCTCTATTTCCTTTCCTATTTGCAAAACTTTAAAAATATTGTAAATAAACAAAAAGTACAAAAATGTTTTGCACTGACACCTATTCTAAGTGAAATGTAGAAAATGCGAACAGCGGGCTGGGGAGATGGCTCAGTAGAGTAAGTGCTTCCCTGGCAAGTGCAAGGGTCTGAGTTCAATCCCCGGTTCCACACACACACACACAAAAAAAAAGACAACAGAAAATGCAAACAGCTGGTACCTTGGCAAATGAGGATTTTTCTTCTCTTGGGACGTGGGTGAGAGCTGGCCCTGGACAGGCCCTGCTCCATGCTGTCCTGGCTCTGGTGCACAGAGACCCTGGAGCCTCCCTGGGACTGCCAGCTGAAGGATAGCCAAGCAGCACCCTCCCCCAAACACCCCAGGCCTGAAACTCCCTCAGTAAGAGCCTGATGCCACAGCAGGAAGACTCTGCCTCTGTCCTCATTGGTGGTCACAGTCCAAGTGCAGCTATGCTGAGGAATTAGGTAAAGTGATCTGAGGTCATGTGTCAAGGCCTGTGTGGAGCATGTGACACCCATGTCCAGACTCAGTCCCACCTCAGAACACTGCTGTGTGCACACACAAATACCCAACTGCCCCCAGAAATCCCCAGTCCAACACTTCTGGTCCCAAACATTTTGGATAAGATGTACCCACCTTGTATGTCATTGTGTTTTATGCTTTGAAGGTTTTGCCCACAGCGTGATTCTAATTTTTAAATTAATTTTATTGAGAAACAGCAATGAGATAGTTTCAAAGCCAATTAATAGGACAGTTTCAATAATGAATACATTGCATATTGTTATCTTCTTGGTGGTTATTCATAGTACAAGATGCGGACATGATATCCTTTCCAAATTCTATTAGCACAAATCTTTCTTCTCATTGTATTAAGAGGAAGTAGCTATATATCTATCCTATTTTGTATATACAGATACAAAATGGTCCTTCCTTTGTATCCCCTTTTTTTGTTTACTTTTGTTGGAGATGAGTATTCCATTGCCATTTATTTTTTTTTTATTTTTTTATTTTTTTAAAGTTTTAACATTTATTTTTTTGTTTTTTGGTACTGGGAACCACTCAGGACCTCGCATTTGGCAGGCAGGCACTGTGCTGTTTCCAGCCCTTAACATTTAATAGAAATTATGTACAATAAATTTTCACCGTATTTTACATACAATAGCCTACCGCCAAAATGTACATAGCTTAGAAGACAGTTATTTAAGGAGGCCCCAGTCCCATGGGATATTTAGAGCTCATCTGGGAAAAGGTTCAGACCAGGTTAAGTGGATGTAATGAAGAAAGGCTAAGATGCAGGCCTCTGAGTAAAGAATCACATGATGGGACCAATATTTCAAAGGCATCATTCTTAAACACAGGCCCCCACCTAGCCATCTATGTGGATTCCTGCCCACAACTTAGGAAGTATCATTCCAAAGAGGTCTTTCCCATCAGGCAAAGTCCCAAATATTCACTGAATCCCAGAGATAGGGATATCTCTCCTCCTGGCCCAGAGTGGGAGGAACCCCACAACTTGCACACAATTGACCCATTTTCCCCAATTTTAGCTTTTATTTAACTACAACTCCAACCCAGAAGGAAAACAAGGCAAAGTTGCCCCATTTGTAAAAAAGATGATCAAACATACTTCTTTGAGGAATGGAATTTCAAATCGACCAAGCCAAATAGATCCTAGAATAAACCATCAACTGACAGAAGTAGACTCTGACTTCCCATTCGCAGGATCAAGTCCACTTTGAGGCAGTGGTGCACAGACTTTCTCAGAATTTCGAGATCCCTGGGGTCTGCACCCATCTCCAGCCATCTGCATCTGGCCCAATATATCCACTGAGCCTTCAGCACTTTTTTTGACTGAATGATCTTCAAGGGTTAGAGAAGGATCAAAAAGCAAGGGTGAAGGAGGGCATTGCATTCCATCACCTACAACATCCAAGTCATCACTGAACTCCAGTGGTAAACTCTCAGTGGGCTGGAGCTCAGCAGCACTCCAGTACAGATCCATGGGGCCGGCTTCCAGGCCGTCTGGCACAGACAGTACCTGCTCGGGCTTATACATCTGAGGAGGCAGCTGGAAATGCAGTGGGCAGCACGGATCCTCAGAAAGGCTTACAGGGACGGCCTTGTTGCAGGGAACCTCTTCAGATCCCTGGCAGCATTTGAAGAGAACTTGATTCGTATCCTGACAA